TTTTTTTTTTTAATGTTTATTTTTTGAGAGAGAGAGACAGAGTGTGAGTGGGGAAGGGGCGGAGAGAGAGGGAGACACAGAATCTGAAGCAGGATCCAGGCTCTGAGCTGTCAGCTCAGAGCGCGACGCGGGGCTCGAACTCACGATCTGTGAGATCCTGACCTGAGCCGAAGTCAGACGCTTAACCGGCTGAGTCACCCAGGCGTCCCTCACATTTTAAGTTTTAAAATGCTTCCTTAGGGCTCGCATGGTGAGTGGGGGCCAGCAGGGCAGAATAAGACGGGACGGTGGTTACAGGGACGGTGCAGGCAAGCGAAGTGGGAGCTCAGCCCACGGTGGCTGAGGACACCCCAGAGCGGGGGCACAGCGAGGCCCAGGAGGTGAGAATTTCACGATGAGGGGCACTCTCGTGGCAAAAGCTTCCTCCATCCCATCTGAACAAGGGCCATATTTTCGGGGGAAGGGCTCTGTGTGAGTTACTGGGGAGGGGGCGGGGGCTTAATGCCTCAGTTTCCCTATTTGCAAAATGGGACAGGCTTTTCCTGGAACCCCGTAAGCAGCAATTCTTTGTGGCCCAGTGGAAATTAGATGCCCCCCACCACGATGCACCAAGGCTGGGCCGGATATCAAGAGGGACTGGGGTGTGTGGATGGTACAAGTATTAGGGACAGCCTCTGCCAGAGAGTCCCCGTTCACCGTAGGTTTGAAATCGAAATTGAGCCCATCTTTGGCATCTTGGCCCTGTATGATGTACGGGAGAAAAAGAAGGTAGGAGCCCCTTTCTTCCCATTCCTACCCCGACCCTCCTCCTTGTTGCACCGCAGTGGGCTTCCTGGAGGTGGTGGCCCAGCAGCTTTTCGTGTCCCCAGATCTCAGAAAACTTCTACTTTGACCTGAACTCGGACTCTGTGAAGGGGCTACTGCGGGCTCATGGCACCCACCCTGCCATCTCCACGCTGGCCCGCTCTGCCATCTTCTCCGTGACCTACCCCTCACCTGATATCTTCCTGGTCATCAAGGTGCCTGCTGGGGCTGGGCCAGGGGGGTGATCATGGTAAACGCCGGATAACGGTAAACGCAGTGTGGGCCCTGTTCTCATGGAAGAAGATGGCCATGTCATCAAGAAGGGTGATGAGTGTGTTGTGGGGAAAGCACAGGCAGCCGGGCAAGCCCAGAAGAGGCTCCTCACACGACCCAGGTGGGGAGAAATCACAGAGGGCTTCCATGGAGAGGTGGCAGCCAGGCCAAGACCCATGAGTGGGCGGCCTGGGGAGAAACGGCATCCTGGCCCGTGCAGATGAACATCTGAAACTTTTTTTAAGTTGGGAGTTTTCCAGTTTATCAGGGGAAGAAAGACCTAGTTGGCACATCTGTGTGAGATTTTCTGTTTCTAGGAGTGATCTCAAATTTCCTTCCCCAAAACGTTCTATTAGGTTACGCTAACGGCATTATTTGAGCACCTACAGGCAGGCACGGCTCATGGTCGGTCAGGGTATGCAGGGCTTGCTACCTCTAATCCTTACAACAGCCCCAGGAAGTGGGGGTTGCCATGGCCCCCCATTTTACAGATGGGGAAACTGAAGTACACCATGGGTTAGGGACCTGTTCGGGCTTCCATACCCTCCAGGTGGTCAGGACTGGAGTCCAGCCATGCTTGGAGTGGCCTCTGTTTATACTAACAAAAGTATAAACGTAGGGAAGTTACGGATATGCGGGTTTGGAGTGGGTTCAAAGCATGGGGAGCGGCAGCTGGCGGGGCAAGCCAACTCTTGCTCAATCCCGAGGACAGTGGGAACCATGGGAGGTGTTGGAGCAAAAGTCCTAGCTGGATGGAGTGTCTGAGGGCCCGTGAGGGGTCCAGGTGGGAATGGGGTGGGAGGCTGGGGTCCCAGCAGCGCCTCACTGGCCCTGCCGGCCCCCCAGCTGGAGAAGGTGTTGCAGCAGGGGGACATCAGCGAGTGTTGCGAGCCATACATGGTGATGAAGGAGGTGGACACGGCCAAGGTAAGCAGGTGGAGGCTGAGCAGGGTGGCGAAGGGGTCACCGGGCAGGGCGGATCCTGGATTCGGTAGGCCTGGGGCACTGAGCACTTGGGGGCTTGGGGGGGGGGTCTCCCCACAGAACAAAGAGAAGCTGGAGAAGCTGCGCCTGGCAGCCGAGCAGTTCTGCACCCGCCTGGGCCGCTACCGCATGCCCTTCGCCTGGACCGCCGTTCACCTGGCCAACATCGTGAGCAGCGCCGGCCAGACAGACCGCGACTCGGACTCCGAGGGAGGTGAGGAGGCGGGGCTGACGGGCCAGGGGCGGGGCTACCGGGGAGGGGACGATGCGCCCTCTGCTGGCTGGACTTGGTACAACGTTGAGTCCCCGCCTCTCTTTCATCTCTGCCGCCTCCATCACTGTCACCACTTTCCCTAGAGCGCCGACCTGCCTGGACTGACCGCCGCCGTCGGGGGCCCCAGGATCGGACGAGTGGTGGGGATGACACCTGCAGCTTCTCCAGCTTCCGCCCGGCCACGCTAACTGTCACCAACTTCTTTAAGCAGGCAGGTGTCATGGCCGTGGGGCTGAGGGAGGGGTGCCCAGGCACAACCCCTGTCACCCCACTGTGGGCGCACAGGCCCCAGGGACCCAGTTTACACGGACGTGTCCCGTGCAGGAAGCTGAGCGGCTCAGCGATGAGGACCTCTTCAAGTTCCTGGCTGACATGCGACGCCCATCCTCTCTACTGCGCCGCCTGCGGCCTGTGACTGGTGCGTGCCACACCTCCTAAATGAGAGGTGTCACTTTCACGCAGTCACTCAACAAACCCACACTGAGTACCTGCTGTGCCAGGCCCTGGGGACCTCGTGGTGACCATGATACACAAATCCCTGACTTCAGGGATCCCTAATGGGAGTCATAGACAAGAAACATAATAAGACAGATAGTGGGTCAAATGGGGGACATGGTGGCGGTGGGGACCTGGGTCCCCAGGGCAGAGGTGATCAAACGCGAGGGCAAGGTACAGCAATTGAGGATGCCTGCTGGCCTTAGCACCTGAAGGACAGCCACTAGGGGGTGTTATGGAAAAGTCAGAGCTCTGATCCTGAAGCCCGGAGAGGGTGGGGCTGGGCTGGGAGGCTTCCAGGCAGGTGCAAACCCCCTACTCCCTCCCCAGCCCAACTCAAGATCGACATCTCCCCGGCTCCCGAGAACCCGCACTTCTGCCTCTCCCCGGAGCTGCTTCATGTCAAGCCCTACCCAGACCCCAGGGGCCGGCCCACCAAGGAGATCTTGGAGTTCCCAGCCCGTGAGGTCTACGCCCCCCATACCAGCTACAGGTACAGCCTCCAGGGCCCAGCTGGGCACGTGAATGGGGGTGTCCGTGCATCCTGCAAAGCAAGGTACCTTTTCTCCCAGACGCACAGAGACACGCAGAGTGAGATGGCACTACTCCGCTTTAATGGGGGGGGGGGGCGGCGGTGTGTAAGCATGAAGGATCACATGTCCTGCCTCCACCCCTCCACGACGGGGCCATGTCCTCTGCCTGTGTCCCCGCCTGTTTCTGTCTCTGCTCCGTGGCCAGAAGCACCCTGGCCGACCCCGGTGGATAGGCAGCTCCTTGTGCAGGGGCCACATGGGGCACGGAAGGAAGCGTCCCTCGGTGTGTGACTGGTTCTCAGTTCCACGCAGGCAGGCTCAGGCTGGAAGTGCCGCCGTGTGGAGTCTGGGGCGGGGGGGGGGGGGGGGGGGGGGGGGGGGGGGGGGAGATCAGGCTCAGCCCAGGCAAAGGGGTCCCCACCCAGCTGCCCCGCGCACCTGCCGTCAGGCTGTCCTGTGCGTCCAGCCCCCTCCAGGCTCACCTCTCCTGGATCTGACGCAGCCGGTGCTGCTGTGCTGCCAGTTCCTGCCTCTGTCGCTGCACGTGGCCTGTGAGGGCCCACACGATGTGGCTCTGCTTGTCAGCGTGGGCCTGCGGGGTCAGGATGGAACCCTCAGCCGGGGCCGCCCCCCCTCCATCCCCCGACGCCGCCCGGGGCCGTCTGCCCCTCAGACTGTATCCGTGTGACCTGGCCATTCACTGCTACTCTTTGGCCTCCACTTCCCCATCTGTTAAACGGGGATGAAATGGGACTTGCTTCATGGGATCGTTATAAGTATGCTATGGGTTATCAAAAGGCAGGGCTGGGTAGCTACTGGGCGCTCGAGAGACAGACCCAGTTACTCTTAACCGTATACATTTATTGAGTCACTTCCATGTCCCCTGTCCCATGCGGAGCATTTTGTCTGTATTGAGTCCCTGTCTCCGCTTTGAGACGTCAGTTGTCACGCTTATTTGCAAATGGGGAAACTGAGGCATGGGAGGGGACAGGGGTTTTGCCCAGGGTCATATAGGTTGGAGGCCATGGCACTGGGAGACGGACCTGGGGATAGCTCGGGGACTCAAGGCTCAGAAGCAAGTTCTGCCTGGGAAATCAGAGTCCTAGCTCCACCAGGGCTGGGAGCCTCTTACCTTCAAGGCCTCAAATTCTTGTTGGGCATGGCCCAGCCAAGCGCCCCTCAGCTGACCTTCCAGCCGCAGCATGCTCTCCCGCAGCGCCCGCTGTCCCTGCGCCGCCTCCCCTAGAGCCTGGGCCGTGGCCTCTGCTTGGAGCTTTAGGGCATCCTCTTCCATCTGATCAATAAATAGTGGATGTTAGTAGGATGATCAACTTGTCTTTGTTTGCCTGGGACTTGCCTAATTTTAACACTGCAAGTCCTGTGTTCCTGGGACCCCCTCGATCTTGGGCAAACCCAGACAGTCGGTTACCTTAGGCACTTGTGCTGCAAACTCCTACCTACCCCACGGTGCCCCAAGTGCAGTGCCCACCTGCATCTCCAACAGGCTTGTGCGTAGCTCCTGGGCTGCATCCCGGCCCCGGCTGACCTCCTGCCCCAGAAGCCCCAGTGCGTGGCCATAGAGGCCCACGCTGTGCCCAGCCTTTGTCAGCCGTGCCTCTGTGGCCCTGTATACGCTGTTGAGGGCCTGACCCAGCTGCAGGGTCCCGTGGAAGAGTAGGGTCAGCTCCTCATGTTGTGCTGGCTCCAGGCTCCCCACGGGAGCTGCAGACGAGGGCCAGGGCTCGGTGGCCAGGGCACACAGCAGGCACAGTGCGAGCACGGGCATGGCTGAGGCTCTGAGGGTGCGGCCACGGCGCCACTGCCGCCACCTTTTATGCCCTGACACCCCAATAACCCCCGGTCAATCGTTAACCGGCCAGCTGCGTGCCCCGTGTTGTGCAAGGGCCTGGCGGTGGCGCGACCGTTGCATCAGGCGAATGTCCGGCTGGGCCACGCTGAGATCACGCTGGCTGGGGCTTGGGGCCAGATGTGGACTGGGGGGCACTGGGAGAGGATAGGCCCAGGCCCCGCGGGGGGAACCTGAAGCTCTGAGCCTCGGCTTCCCCACCTGTGGAAGGGCTGACAACAGTAACAGGCCAGCAGAAGCAGATGATAATAGTGAGCGTCTTAGCGCCGACGGTTTCCCCAGATGGGTTTTCTGCTGCCGTTATGGTAGCTGACTTGCTCACACCCTTGCCGCAGGCCTGTGATGCTGGGCTCTGCGCTGGCCTGGCTGCAAGCTGGGGGTGTGGGGCAGGGTATAGGTGTGGCAAAGACTCTCCCGAGGCCATACAGCCTGGCTCCAGGACCCACATGTGCCCCGGAGCAGTGCCAACTGCCGTTTTGTTCCCTGGATGACTGTGGGGCATGTGCCTCTATTCCACCACCACCCCCCCCGCCCTGTAAAATGGGAGTAACGTTCATCCCCCCTCCCCCCCCACTTCTGATTCTGGCCTCAGTGTCTCCACCTGAGAGATAGGCCTCATAACCCTAGTGGCTTCTCCCGGGGGAAGGGCAGTCAGGCCCCTGAGCCCAGGGAGGGGTGGGTCAGCCCAGGTGGCTGCCTGGGACACTTTTTGGAACCCTGAGCCCGAGCACCCATCTGTCCCTGCTCGGCACCTCCCCACACCTCATGAGCGCCCCCAAAGTCCCTCTGTGTCCCCACCCTCTGCTGCACTGTTCCCCACCTATGCTCTAAGGGTGTCCACCTGTCCCCCGCTCTCTGCCAGTCACATCTCCCGCCTGGTGCCCATAACCGCCCCGCCCTCAGTGTCCCAGCTGCGTGGCCACTCTCCCCCTGTGTCCCAGGCCCGGCTTGTGTCAGTAGCCTGGCCTCTCCTGTCCCTCTGATGCCCCCCTGCCCCCGCAGGAACCTGCTGTACGTGTACCCGCACTGCCTCAACTTCAGCAGCCGCCAGGGCTCCGTGCGCAACCTCGCCGTGCGAGTGCAGTATATGGCGGGCGAGGACCCCAGCCAGGCCCTGCCGGT